TGTCCTCAAACTCTTTTTTCTTATCATCCAGCTTTTTACGAGCCTCCTTTTGTTGAATAACTTCATCCAGTTTTCTTTTCACTGTGCTCACCTGTTCATCATGAAACTCTTTGATTTTGATTTCAAATCGGCCTCTCCACTGAGCCAAAAATTCTTTCTCTATATCCTCCTCAAAATACTTTTTCATTGATGTTTTTATTTTTTCATAAGTCTTACTTGTATTTTCTTTGAGATAGATCAGCTCCACTTTGTTAAGATTTCCATTTTCAATTCTGTTATAAAGCTGATTTTCAATGGTCAGCATGTTGCTCCTGAGGTCCCAGGTCCAGTTTCCATATTGGATCTCCAATTTTCTGTATGCTGCAATTTCAAGTGTGTTTTTAAAACTGAAAATAAAGTTTTCATTGAGGAGGGCAATCCACAGATCTTGAATTCTATTTCTGAACTGTGACAGAGTGATCCCATCAGACTTTGAAGCTTTAGAGAGGATGGTGTTCTTCACTTCTTGGATGCTCTCGCTGTATCCTGGATTAGGAGGAGCCATGGGTGGACTACCCTCCCACAGCTGGGCACAGTATTTCACATCTTTTTGGACATCAAATTCAATGACATCACTGAAGCACTCTGCACTGTAAACTTCCTCTTCAGCTGCTAGTTTGGCCATCTGGTCCAGTTTTTCTAGCAGGCGTCTCTTTCCTTCCATGTTTTTCTCTGCTGCTGCGACATCTGTAACATTCTGGTGAACAAACACACAACTGGGAGAAAGTTTAACTTTCTTCATCCTCATGAAAGCCTGAACAACAATCTGCAGGATGTCCTGCATCTCAGATGGATTCTCTCCCATAATGTTGATCAGTGTCAGGTTTCCCAGACCAACAACAAATGTTGCCAGTTCGTTGTCATGGTGAAGAGTGATGTTACCTTCCAGCTCAAGAGCACGCAGTCCTTCAGTGTCCACCACTAGAAGATAGTCAAACTTCAAGTCTTTCTTCATCTCCTCTGATACTTTGAGCAGCTGCATGAAGGCACCTTTGGTGCACCTGCCTGCACTCACTGCAAACTGCAAACCAAACATGGTGTTCAGCATCGTTGATTTTCCACTGCTTTGTAGACCCAAAACTGACAACACAAAAACTTTCTGGTGCCCCAGTTTCTTGATGACTTCCTCTAAAAGACTGGAGATCCATCTTAAAGGCACGTGACCTGCATCACCATCCATCAGCTCCATCGGGTGTCCTGATATCATCAGCTGTGCAGCCAGCTCAGGGTATTGAGACCAGTCAGTGTGTCTGCTCTCTCCTTCTATTGCTCTATGAGCTTCATAGATCTGTCCCATTTCTCTGAAGATGTGCTCCAAACCAAAAGTTGCAAACTGCAGTTTTCTGGAAATTTCTTCAAGCTCAGTTTGTTTCTTTACTAACAGATGTGATTTGTTGTGTTTGTTCTTCAATTCCAAGACCTCAGACCACTTTTTATCATAACTTTGGAGAATAATTGACAGATCATCTGTGGAGAGATCATCCATCAAGATCTGAGTCCATTTCAGGAAATACTGTTTGTCTTTCAGTGGCAATGATGAGAGGCTTTCAATGAACAACTCCATCAGTTTACTGCAGGAAGCATCGCATTGTTCCTGACGTATGGTTTTCAGTTCTTGTTGCTTTTTACTTTTCTCCTTTTCAATGTGTCCTCTGAGATTATATAGTTCTTTGTGTATTTTGCTCCACTTATGCCATAGATCACCTTGGCATGGGAGAAATTCATGTTTGATTTTTGAGACATTCATGTTATCCTTTGTAAGCAGATGCATCATTTTCTTAGCAGCAGATTTACCTTCTTGACAGGCCGGCTCACTTTCATCCACTCTGATTCCAGAGACCTCAGCCATCATTTCAAGCTGGAAGCATGGTTTTAAGCTGGGACCATCTAGAGAAGATAAAACTTCTTTAATGATCTCTTTCAGTTGTTCGGATACATCTGCCTGACTTCTGTCATTGAGACCTATGATGTATATTCCCTTTTTTGCCTTAATGTTACAGCTGTCAACACAGAGACAAATTAAAGGCTTGTGAGATTTAAGACAAGCTGATATAAATGCCTTGTTTTTTTGATTTTCCTGCAGAGAAGCAACAAAAAAAATGTTCACTGAGGATTTTTCAATTAGTATGTCGCGCTGTTTTTCAGTCAACAGAGCATCACCACGAAGATTACAAAAGGCAATACAGTCATTGAAGGCATCATTGGGTTTTCCAGCAGGACAGTACCAAGCAATCTCTGCCACACCATCCGTCAGATATCGAGACTTGGTGCTTCCTGGACAGTTTCTATGGAAGAAGGTGTTGTGACGGTCGTTGATCAAAGTGTTGATCAGCTGAGATTTAGACACTGACAGAGAACCCAGGCGGAAAAATGACACCAAGTGTTTCTGAGCTTTACAGGCTGGGACACTCTTCATAGTGACAGTTTTGGAGTCCTCTTTGATTTCAGTTACCTTCCAGGTTTTTGTTATTTGTCTGAAAGTCCACAGAGGACACTCGATCTCCATAGTGACTGGGTCAGGAACAAGCAAAGGTAAGGCATACTGACACTGAGAGAGCTTTGTAATCATCATCTGTTTAAGAAAGCTGTCTGAGCAGTGAAATACTGCCATCTGAACATCTATTGGATGCACACGAGTCTGTTCTGTGAGATCTGTGTCTACAATACTTAATAAAGCATCCAAATCACTGAAATCATTCTCAGTACTTTCATTGTCTCTAATAGACTCTGAATGGGTCGCCTCAGGACTGCCTGGTCTTACAGGAATATATCTGGCTCTGTAATCTAACATCAACATCCTGTATAGAAAAATGTGAGCTAGCTCTTTCTCAGATGTCACATGGTGCTGTTTCACAGGTTCACATATTTGAAGAAAATCTGCTGGTGATAACGTCTGTTGAAGTTGAAGATTTAGTCTGACAAACAGCTTTGTTTCTTGATGTGATGTTGTGTTGCTGCTGTCTTCAGAACCATTCCATGACTGCAGTAAATAAGCAAATAAACATGTAGTCTATGTAAAGAAAGTTATACAGTGTGGTAAAGTAAATTGTTCTTCACATCTGTTTAAATAAATTGTGTTTTTTTTTTTACCTTGTCCTTGATTGTACTGATGTCCTTGATGTCTGAAGTTCCTGCAGTTGAAGGTAGAACCAAAACATGTGCTCAATCCAATACAATTCTCTAGTTTTTATTTTTTATTTTTTGTTGTTGTTTTGCAAAACTTTCAACCTTTTTGTTTTTCTCAACTCCATAGTTTAAAAAGATAGACTGGTTCTTATATAGCACTTTTTTACTCTTCTGAGCACTCAAAGCACTTTACACAACTTGTGCATTCACACCCATTCACACAAGCACATTGATCTAAGTGCTTTCTAAGTAACATTCACACACATTCATACTCTGATGGTTAACATCTTGCCCAAGGATATTTGGCATGCAGACTAGGGGAAGCCAGGAATCGAACCACCAACCTTCCGATCAGCAGATGACCTGCTCTACCGCCTGAGCTACAGTCACCCTAGACTGTTATCAAGACCTTCACCCTACACACAAGATCACTGGTTTGAGCCTGGGAGGAGGTGCAAAACCTGTATAGGGTTGTGTGAGGACACCCAGTGTAAATGTGTGCCAAATTAATTATACAAATCAATCTGCTGTGGTGAACTCTAGTCAATAGCAGCTGAAGTAAGCTTCTTTTAACAATTTCTGTTTTTGTTTTTTTTCCCCCTGTTAATGTAGAATCCAATTTTTTCTTTAAAAAAAAAAACCCTCTTAGTGGTTTCAGATGATTGTGTAGCTGGCAGAGAGGGCAGGAGAGTAAACAAGATGAAGCATGACCAGGACAAGACAGTCTGAAGAAAAGTGAAGAAACTGAAGAAAAGTAGGGATTAGAAGCTCAATACAGACGTTTTGAAACTGTGTAAAGTGCAGCTGTTTCAAAACACTGCTACAAATTGCGGTTCCAAACACCCAGGTCACGTGACCATGACTAAATCCAAGGTCTTGGTGTATTTCACCACAGTTTCAACAGATGGCCTACCTGCTGCTTCTAGGCAAGACACCAGGATTAATATTTTATTACGAAACAGAGTTATTTGTAATTACTGAATTCTTGTTTTTGATACTACCGCTTCCATTTATAGCACACCCATGTATAAGAGAAAACAATACCCCATTTGTCATTATTATTTTTGCTGTGGATTGTGAAGACCAATGTAATCCATCCAAGCACTTAAACACTAAAATCAAAATTATAATCAAATATATATATGGACTATTATAATGATTACTGGCATATAGATGAAAGAAAGCAAAAAAGACAGAAACTGGTGAGTGAGCTCTATTCACTCCTATCAGCAGAAAAAGAGAGAGTAGTGCTAATGAGTGCTACTCATTAAAATATCTTAATAAACACTGCTTCTGCTTTCAAGGAGAAAATAAAACAGGAAGGAGTTTTCAGCTCTGACTCCATCTGTTCTCCAGTTTTTTTCTTTCGTCAGAAATTGTTAATTCTTGTAATAAGTTATGTCATCCTCACTATAACCTGCTGATCACATACTGTACTGCCATAGGGAAAACATTTATAATGTAAAAACAAAAGTTAAAAAACATCCAATAAGTACAAGCAATCTACAGTAGGTATAGGTTGCAGACAAAGTTAAAAAGAGTTTCTTCATGGTTCAGAGTTTGCTCAGCAGAAAATGACTTAAAAATGTACTAGGTAACATGTGTGAAATGGACTCTTGCCATTGGTCAGAATTAGCTTATCAATATATAATAAAATAATAAAAATTAATGCATGGCAGCTTCTAGCTTTGATTGAAAGTGCAGAACAAACCTGATGATATAAGGAACACACAAGAAACTCAAAAGTCGACCAAACACATCCAAAGTTTGAGGGCTGTGAGCAAAAGACAAAGCTCACTGAGCCCAAAACCAGCTGCAATCCTTTGTGGTTATTACAATAAATACAGCAGTCCGCTAAAAACTAAATAAAAACCACTTGCACAAAATCTTGCCGAAACCCAGGACCCGGGCGAGGAGGGATGTACCGCATTCTGGTAAGGTGTCAAGGGGTATACACCATGCTTTGGTGGACACAGGCTGTATATTGACCCTGGTTCACCAAAACCTGGTTCCCCCTGTGGATTTGTTGGAAGCAGAGTGGGTGTAAGTGAAATGTGTGTATGGGGACGTTGCTGCTAAAATTCAGGTGCAAAACGCATAAGATAAAGGCTGCTGTTAGCCTGTGTCTGTCATGTCCCCCAATTTTGGGCACTAATTGGTCGGGGTTTAATAACCTGTTGTATTTGGGGATACAACAGGTTAGATTTATGTGGTGTTTGCACGGTGCTCAGCGGTGATGCAGGGTTGTCCAACACTGACACCGGGGAGGAGCAGATGTCAGAGCCTTCTACGGAGGCCCTGCCGTCTCTACGGGTTCGCCCCACGGAAGATTTTCCACTGGAGCAGTCTCATGATGACGCCCTACGCTCAGCCTACGACCAAGTGATATTGATGGTCACCTGGTGTGACCTGAGGCTGCGCAGACATACCTGCACTTCGTATTAGGGAATGATAGGCTGTATTGAGTCAGTTGCAACATTCGCACTGATAAAATACACAGCCAGTTGTTGGTGCTGCAAAGCCGTCGGGAAATTATTTTCCAGGCAGCTCATTACAACTTCATGGCAGGGCATATGGGATGCGACAAAACTCTGGAAAAAATAATGGCCTGATTTTATTGTCCGGTCATCTGGGCAGATGTGCCGCGCTAGTGCGCGTCATGCCCGGAGTGTCAGCTGGTTAACCAGCCAGCCGTTCTAAAAGCACCATTGTGCACTTTACCATTAATGGAGGTCCCGGTCGAACACATTGGTGTGGACTGCATCGGACCATTTCACCGGAGTGCACGTGGATATTGCTGTTTATTAATTCTGGTACATTATGCAACACAATACCCGTAAGCAGTGCACACTACTGTGCACCATCTCTTGTTTGCATTGCGGGAGGTGCCCCAGGCCTCCACAGGATTTTCTCCCTTTGAATTACTGTTTGCCACAGGGAAAACAGTAAGGTAGGGTACTCTACCTTATTAAAGAAAACTGGAAGGTCCAAGCCCCGCAAAAAAAAAATGAGATTCCGTATGTGTTAAACCTGAAAACAAAGCTATACACTTCGGGGAGGTTATCATGCGCAAATTTGCTCCAGGCCCAGCAGCATCAGGAAAGCCTGTACAACAGAGGGACAAGACAGGCAATTTTGACCAGGAGTTAAAGTGCTTGTTTAACTCCCTTTTTCCAGCTCCAAACTACCTCACACAGGCCCATCCTGGCCGTACCTCTCTCATTGAGAACCATTTTGAAATGCAGCCTGGCAAGACGGTGCGTTCACGGCCCTACAGGTTGCCTGAACATAAATGGTAAATGGCCTGTATTTGTATAGCGCTTTACTAGTCCCTAAGGACCCCAAA